AATAAAAAAAAAAACAAAAAAAAGAAAAATATAGGAATACGTCCAACCTCGGTGCAACGTAATATGGTTTGACCGAGTCGCGAAACCCACCGACCATTATCCAATATCTCCGAAACATTTCGAGTCGGACGTATATAGTGAACTGGATGAATTGGATCATTCGAACACTCAATGGGACCGAAAGTTGCAATTATGAAGAGGTAGAATTGAATCGACCTCAAGAAACGAAAATTTTAACATGGCGGACGTAGAAAGCAACGCGAATGAAGGAAAAAGAAAGAAGGTCGAAGCATTTCGCAATATTAACCTCTTTTTATGATTTATTTTTTAGTGATTGGTACAACTACTTTATCGTTGATAATTTATTTTAAATTATTTTAAAATGTAGTTCCCTCAAATAAGCGACGATTTGAAAACATCTCTATATTGTAAATAACGGTACCTATTGCGGTGACATTCAGCAAGACGAACCTACGGTAACGACGCAATTCAATTAAATTATTTAATATCGTATTTTTGTTATTTTGCATATGCTGTGTCTTAGAATCATTTGGTATTCAATGTGTTAAGAATACAAGTTGTAATGATTATTATACATGTGTCTACGTTTATTGCAAAGGTTAATACGTTGACTGTCAGGTCGGTCGATGATTGGAGTTTCCAAGTTACTTTAGAGTAATTATAATTTGTCAGATAACTAACGTCGAATGAAAATATTTTATAGCGTAAATTATTAGATAACAGTGTAACGTACGCATTGCGATATCAAATAATAAGTAACTTCCTCTTTATCTTTGCTAGGAAAGTATAAGCGATACATAAAACTCTGAAGGTGGAAAAGTAATATTTCTTTAATTTTATTATATTATAATATATTTAGTATATTTCATATTATATTAAAATATGTTTAGTATATTTCATATTATACTAAAATATATTTAGTATATTTCATATTATATTAAAATATATTTAGTATATTTAAAGTTTAAAATTTCGAATCTGACACGATATTGTAGGTCAAGGGGTTAAAGGCTTGTTATTACGGTTAAAGTTATTTAACATCATATTGAACTGAAAGTCATAATAGTGACATATTTTAATACGTCTGTTACTACTAATGAATATTTACTTACAAAAGGAAAATTGGACCCAAATTGTATACTGTAGGGTAAGAATAGATAAAGCAAATTTTTCACTTTTGGTGTTCAAAATATTTACAATATACTTGAATACACGTGTTTATATCTTAATGAATAATGCAACAAGTAAGTTAACCTCTCCTGAAATATTACAGACACGAAATACATGCAGTTTGTATACTGAATTTATAACCATTACATTGCAACTAAAATTAAATGAATACGTTTGTATACTGAATTTACGAACATTACATCGTAATTAAAATTAATTGAATAAATACATAACCATACCCAATTTATGAATATTACATCGTAATTAAAATTAATTGAATAAATACATACGTATACCCAATTTATTTACATTACATCGTAATTCAAATCAATCGGATAAATACGTAATTACCATATATTAAAAATATTCAATCAGGAATTCGGTTCACTGTTTCAACTGTGCCTATTGTTTCGCGCGTATCGAAAGCACCTCAGAGCAACCAAACCTGGAAAATTAACCGAGATAGCAGGTTTCCTGTGTAAGATTGGAAACGTACCTACTGTTGTGTATGTGCGCGATAATAAACGTTTTTATGTCAGCTGCGGTCATTCGCCGATTCGCGTGTCGGTTTAGCAATTGCAACGTTTCCCATTCTCGCGTGTACTCTTTTATATCGATTCAAATGAGTTTCGCTTTGCTGGCACCGCGGTCCCGATTTCACCAGATCGGAAGTTTTATTGTGATTCCGTTTTAGCAAACAAGAAACCCCTGCGGAACTGAAAGCTTCCTTCACCACAATATTCATTAGCTTTCCAATATTCGCGACACAAATATTTTTTTAATCTTTCCCCTATTCCTTTACATTTAAGAAACGGAAAGCATTGACAGTTGATAGAATGATGTATACGGTAGACTGAATCAGATTTAAATAAGAATCCAGTTCATATTACATCGCAAATTTTGTCTCTTATTTGCAAAAGAAGGGGTTACAAATTCTTCTTTTATTTCTGAATATTCATCTTCAAGTAGTGTTATATCTTTATGTTGCAATAGACAATTATTCGATTTATCTTGGTCCAACCTATTTTCCTTTCTGCAGAAAGCTTTGCTCGTAGAAAATTGGTAGAAATATAAGAAAAAGTGAATTGTGTATTGTACACGTAGTTTCTGTTACTAAAAGATTATTATAACTGTTAACTAATGTAGAATAGTTTCGTTATACAGAATATAAACTGTTGGAAATTCGATTTATGAATTTATGCAATACGAGTCGATGTTCAATGTAGATTTTGTTTGTTGGTGTATGTTTTATTATACGACCTGATATCATGTTGAACGTTGTTACGTGCATGTAAGTACTTCTCAAATAGATTCTGTTCACATATATTCTCCGAGTAAATAATCCGAGATAACTCATAAATAAATAGGACATCGCTTTGTAGAGAAATCTTTCTCTATGTCAAGAAAATTGTACTAACACGAAGAAAAATGTATTATGTGTTTTGCATAATAATTGTTTTTATTGAAAGATTATTAAAACATTCATTATTAGATGATTATTAAAAAAGATATAGCAAGATCAGGTATTTATTTCAAAAGTAATATAGAACATTTTCAATTAAATGTGAGCAATAATAGATAATTGCTTTTTTTATGGTATTAACAAATCGACTGATTCGCTGTCCTGATATTCTTCCGAGGAAACAAAATGGCGGCAACGGGGGACCGAAGGTCTACCGTAAATTTTCAACGGCATATATCCTCTGACGATGAATGTGTTTTCTAAAAAAAAGTGAGATGTGGCTTTGACCCAAATTGATCCCTAGAGGGTGATGTTTGCACGGGTTATTACGATTTTATTCACTTTGAGACGCTTGACTTTTACATTGTCCGTCGTTACGTATAAAACTGCGCCATATTCCAGAAATATGATATTGTTATCATTCCGTATATGAAAAGTTGTACATACAAGTATTACTCTTAGCTGAATAACCCGTTCTTTTTTATCTATGAAATATTTATTATAAAAGGATAATAATAATCAACGTTTCCATTAGTATGTCATTAAGGAGACAGTGGATTAGACATTCATATATTATACTTATTAATTATTAAAGTGTAATTTTTCAGTAAAAAATCAATTTTTATAATCAAGAATAATTCCAATTTTTGCATGAATAGTTTAATTCAATATAATTTAATAGAAATAATTTACTAAGTCGAAAGTACAATAAAAACTAATGAGATGCACAAATTTCTATATCTTTCCTAAAGATTTGTATAAACTAATAAATGCATGGAAATTTTTAGTCCGTTTGCCTTTGAATTTTCTATTAATTATGCTCGATTAGCATTGTGCGTTAATCGCTTGTCCTACGACTTAGTTCTCAATTATGATCGATACACTTTATCATTAATAATTCACTAAGAAACAGAAAGAAATTCTAAGCATATTTTACGCTCACATCCGTTTAAACGTATAGTAACCGATAACGGAAGTATATTTAATTTAA